GAAGTAGATTGCCCAACCTTCCTTCCGAGGAGTGGCTGGTGGGTTTGAACGGCCAGCCTTCTGGTTAGCAGTCAAGTGCCTTAGGCTACACCACCAGAGCTTCCAGCCACTCCTCCAAAGGAAGACTGGACAATCTACTTCTGTAGAGATACTGCCTTGGAAATCAAAGAAGGTTTGTTATGAGTAGAAATCAATTCAACGGCTGTGAGTTTGGTTTTTATATTGTGGTAAGATATATATAAGAAAACATTTGCCATTTTAGTCATTTTTAAGTTTATAATGCAGTGACATTAAATTACAGTCACCACGTTGTGCAGCCAGCACAACTTTCTATTTCCAAAAGTTTTTGATTAGCTCAAACAGAAACTCAGTACCCCTTAAACATTGACTTCCCATTCTCCCTCCCCCTAGATCCTGGTAACCACTTACAAACCTTTTTCTCTATGTATTTGCCTAGTCTAGACATTTCATATATTCTGTGTTTTTAGAAATGCTCCTTTTTTGATTCTTCATTTGTGTTCAACTATGTACTTCTTAGAATTAAAAATTTCATAATTTCATTTCTTGGTTGGTGTCTCCAGTTATATCGAGTTTCTCCAAACTTAAGTATATGTAGATTTTATTTTTTGGTCATAAGGTTATAAGAATTTTCAAGATCTGGGTTTTAATTTGCCTGGATCTGAAAGTATAGTTATTGTAATGTTAGAAAAAATAAATAAATAACCCATTGCCATCAAGGCAATTCCAACTCATGGCGACCCTGTGTGTTACAGAGTAGAACTGCTTCATAGAGTTTTCTGGCTGTCAGAAAGCAGAAGAAGACCACCAGACCTTTCTTCCACAGTGCCTTTAGGTTAGTAGTTGAGCGCAAATCATTTGTGCTACTGAAGGACCTAAATATTGCCAGCTGCCATAAAAAACTAAAAAAAAAAACTGTCAATTTGGTCCTGAAAGGGAGCATTTCTTATCAAATTCTAGGTATAGCACTGATTTACTTTGTATACCACAAATATATACACTTTGTATACCAGTGTAGACACTGGTTTCCTTTGTATACCACAATTTACAATCTCTGTTAGTCTCCCTGCCCTGTTTGCTTAAACAATTTTAACTTTGAATTTTGTAAGCTAGATTTGAGGGGTTTTTAATTTGTATTGAGTAGATAATGTATTTCCAATACAAAGTTTTTCATCCAGTTCTTACTCCTCAGCCACTTTTTCTTTCCCCAAAGGCAACTAGTATTATCAGTTAGTCCTGTCCCTCCCCCTTGCTCCCCTCTCCAGTTTCTTGATATCTGGAGATATTCTGAACACAGAAGCAAATAAAGACATGTACACACAAACATACTGCATTCACCACATGAATAAATATGTATTTTCTCCCTTTTCTTACACAAATGTTAGCATACCATATATACTTTTCTGCACCCTCCTTTTTTATATTTAATAATGTACAGATCATGGATTCCTTTTTAGTTCTTAAAGAGTTTCCTCACTTGTTTTCTGTAACAACTGCATAGTATTCCATTTATATGGCTGTACTATACTAGTCCTCTTACTGATGGATATTTAGGTGGTTTCCTATCTTTGGCTGTTACAAACATATAAAAGAATATATGTAGAAATCAATTCAATCCAGTGTAGTGGAACTCTTAATTCTATTCCTGATTGTAGATGTAATACTTCTTCCTCTGACTAACCATCAGAGCTAGCTCAGATCTCAAGTTAAAGGACACAGTCCTCCAAACTGCCCAAGACTTTAGGTGCCAGCTGCAAGCATGGAGGTCTCCAAGTCTTCTCTGTCTTTTGACCTCCTGGCTCCCACTGCTTCAGGTTTCATGATATGCTAGAACATGTAGTTATGATTACAGTTACTATATAGCAAAAAGGATACAACTGAAGAGATGAAATGGGTGATGTCTGGGAGACTTTCCAGTACAAAGCTTCTGTCCCAAATACATGCTCACCTCCCATATACATCTGTGTCTTATCACCAAGCAGGAATCTCTTGGAGCTTCAGTGTGTAGGGCTTTTATTGAGGATTCTAGAGACTCGTGATTGATGAAATCAATGCAGATGTGGCTGTAGGCAGCCTGCCCTCCCCATTAGGGTGGGTTGATACCACCTGGGGGTATTTCTGGCCTCAGCAGAAAGTTACCTCATTAGCATAACCTGTTAGGTAGGTGTGTTTGGACCCCACAGCAGAGACCCTTTAATCACTGGGGAAATTCCAAGACTTTAGAGGTTACCTCTCAGGAACCTAGGACAAAGACCAAATTCTTTGGATAAACTTCATTGTAAACCCTGCAGATAAAGTCTAACACTGGGTCAGGGGGAAGTACATGGGAATCTCAGGTGCTGCTGAATTGTTTTCCATAGTTGTACATATTTATATTCCTTCTAGCTGTTAGTGAAGGTGCAGTGTTTTACCAAACTTTCATATATTTGGCAAACTGGTAAGTGAAAATGGAAATCTTAGTATAGTTCTGTTTTACATTTTTTTAATTATAAGTGAGATTGAGGGTTTTTCATATGATAGAGAATCCTTTGGTTCCTTTTTTGTGTGTTTGGACATAGTTTTTTCTATATACCTTTTGAATTGTTGGCTGTTTTGTTACTGTTTTGCAAGAGTACAGTACATATTCAGTATATATTCCCTTTGTTGGATTCTTCTAGGAGACTGTTAACTCAAGCCACTGGGTTTATCAATTTCAAGTTATCTTCATAAACAGTTATGTTGTACTGTTTTGAATCTACTGAAAAGTCAATTTTCAGTGACTTAGTAGAACTCTGCACATTTAATAAAATATCTTTTTTCAGTTGTTTCTCTCTGATTAATTCTTCTGACTTTCAGACATTTCTTACACTATCGTTACAAGATATGGCAAGTCGAGTACAGTTATCTGGACCTCAGGAGGCAGAAAAATACGTCCTACACATGGTAAGTGTGTTTTCATCTTTTAAAATTAGTGTATTTTTGTCAGTATAAAAGCAATGCATGTTGTTATGAAAATATAGAAAAGGAACAAGGCTTCCAAAGTAAACCACTGTTGACAGTTTGGTCTATTTCCTTAAATCTGTAGAGTTTTCTGTTCATGGTATACTCGTATGAGAAAGAGAATTGTGTCCTGTTTGTTATCCTTACTTACTATATGTTTTTTCATTATTAATAGTTTTTATAAGCATCATTTAAAATGCTCATGAAATATTTTGGATATACTAGAAATAATAAAGGAGTACTACTTAGTGTGCTGGTCCCCAGTGAGGTGAGCTTGCCCAGAATGTAAATCAAGGCACTGCTTCCTTCATCAGGAAAGTTTTGCTAAAATATGTTAACTGAACTATAAACAGTGTGCTTAATAACATCATGGATTTATTTACGTGCTGATTTGAGCCTCTTGGCTCATCGTTGACTGGTGTCAGTACATGACTACACTTTCAGTGGCACTGAGGTAAAGGGGAGAAGCCCTCATGGCACAATAGTTAAGCAGTAGGCTGCTAACCAAAAGGGCAGTGGTTTGAACTCACAAACCCCTCTGTGGAAGAAAGACGTGGCAGTGTGCATCCATAATGATCGCAGCTTTGGAAACCCCATGGGGCATTTCTGCTTTGTCCTATAGAGTTGGAATCGACTTTATGGCAGTGGCTTTAGTTTTGGTTTGAGGTAAAGGATACTGTAACAAACTTGTACATATTCACCACTTGCCTTAAGAATTCAAATACAAACTGTGGTCAATGACATGAGACAAAGTATATGTGAACTGCTATATGGAAAGTGAATTTGCTCTGTAAAATCTTCACCCAAATCACAATAAAAAATAATAAAAATTAAAATTAATTAATTAATTATAAAAAATAAAAAAGAATTCAAATACAAATAATTCCCAACTTAAAACAGGATTCTGTTCCAATGACTCCGTTGTAAGTCAGCTCTGATGTATGTTGAATACCTTATCAGATTTTTTAGTTTTCATTATTATTGCCTTTTATTATCATTATCTTTATAAATCAAATCTTTGTCTTTAAGGGTTGGAAATATTACATATAAACTTAAAAATATACTTCAATACATGCATAAAACTAAACTCACTGCTGTTCAGTAGATTCCGACTCATAGAGACTCTGTAGGACAGAGTGAAACTGCTCCTTTGGGGTTTCCAAGGGGGAATCTTTACTGAAGCAAACAGCCATATCTCTCCTCCCATGAAGTGGCTGATGGATTCAACTCACTGACCTTTTGGTTAGCAGCTAAACACTTTAACCATTGCACCACCAGGGCTCCCAATACATACATACATTAAAATAAAAAATTATAAAAACTGACTCCAGCAATGAAGAAGAGTTGGATGACTTTGACATTTTGTCATTTGCAGTAATAACTCTACTCTTAGAAGGTTATGGATCATCTGGATTCTCCCTGGGGGTGGGGATGATGTTTCTAATATATTAGGGGAAAAGAGACCTCAAATTCAAACAGATTCAATAGAGACACTTTTATTAAGCCTTGGACAGAACAAAGACAATCATCCCCATTTCACAGATGAGGAAACCAAGGCCTAGGCAGGCTGTGTAACTTGCTTAATATATGTCCTTATAAAGAGAACTTGGATTAGAATCCTGATTTTTCTCATCTAAAACTCCTGACTTCTCTCAATATTACCAGTTGTCATGTGATTGAATTCAGGTGTAGACCCCTTAATAAATAATCTAAGTCATCTCATTTCCTCTTTGCATGCAAAAAATCACATGGTGCTATATTAAGAATTTGGTTGATTGGTGGGAAACCATTAGCCAAGGTAACATATTGTTCTCCGTAACAGGGCTCTTCTATTATTTCTAATTAATCGGTCAACAATTTCCTGTTTAGCATTTCCAGTTCACAACACAAATGTGTAATATGAAACAAAGCATAACTATATTAACTATAGAAATTTGCTTTCTTCAATATGGTTAAGTGCTATTGAGTCAGTTTCCACTCATAGTGACCCTATGTATAAGAACAAAATACTGCTCCATCCTTGGACTCATTGCTTTGTTTGAGCCCATTGTGGCAGCCACTGTTTCCATCCATCTCATTGAAGGTCTTTCTCTTTCACTGACCCTGCACTTTACCGAGCGTGATGTCCTTCTCCAGGGACTTAGTCTTCCTGATAACATGTCCAAATTATGAGAGAAAATGTCTCACCATACTCGCTTGTAAGGAACAGTCTAGCTGTACTTCCAAACAGATCTGTCATTCCTCTAGCAGTCCATGGTCTATATTCTTTGCCAACACCATAATTCAAAGGCATTGACTCCTCTTTGGTCTTCCATATTCATTGTCCAGCTTTCACAAGATAATATGAGGCAATTGAGAATATCATGGCTTGAATCAGCACACTTTAGTCCTCAAAGTGACAGCTTTGCTTTTTTAACACTTTAAAGAGGTCTCTTTCCACTCTTCTGCCATTTGTCTTAATGTGGTGGTTTGAGCGTTGCTGTAATTCTAGAAGCTATGCCACTGGTATTTCAAATACCAGCAGGATTATCCACAGGGGACAGTTTTAGCAGAGCTTCTAGACAAAGACAGAGTAAGAAGAAGAACCTGGCCATCTACTTCTTAAAAAACCAGCCAGTGAAAACTTCATGAATAGTGGTAGAATATTGTATGATAATAGTGCCTGAAAATGAGTCCCTCAGGTTGAACCAAAAAAACCAAACTCACTGCCATTGAGTGGACTCTGACTCTTAGTGACCCCCATTGGGTTTCCAAGGCTGTAAATCTTTATAGAAGTAGATCACCCCATCTTCCTTCCGTGGAGCAACTGGTGGGTTTGAACCGCTGACCTTCTAGTTTAGCAGCCCAGATGCCTTATCCACTAAGAGCTGCCTCCTCAGAGTAGAGTTGATTTTAATGATGTGGATGGAGTAAAACTTTCAAGACTTTGATTTACTGATGTGACACAATTCAAAATCAGAAGAAACAGCTGCAAACATCCATTAATAAACACCCTTCAGTGTAGGCCAGGTATTAAGGAATTTGATGGTAAGGCAGTTCTTGAAGGTTAATTTCCCTTCTACCAGTATGCTCCTCAGTCATTTTGTGTTACTCATCTCTCTGTCTCCTACTCTAGTTAATATTGTACATATCTCCCAATTCTGAAAAAACAGGAAATAACCATGGGTTTGTTGAACCTTGGTTTCATCGCACCTCAGTTTCATTAGTTTTTGCACATTAATAGCCAATCAGGCTGACTCAGGTTTAAGTCCTGTGGCAGTTCAGCCACCCCCGTCCTGGAACCAGCATCATCATCAGCACCAATGCTCACAGGAAAACATGCAACAGCATCTCACTGTTTTCTCACCGGGACCACGCATTCCAAGAGCCAGCATCACCAGCTTATTACATCATCAGCTACTGACAAGCCAATACTTGTATGCAGGCAAGCATGACAGTAGGGGAATCTGTTCCCAAGACTGACATTCTCTGTGCATTTTGTGACTGGTCACTCAAGTCTGTTCAGATGTAGGAAAAATAAAGACCTGTTGCATATGGTTACTAGTTATCACCCCATGCAGCTTTACAAAAAGTCTATGAACGTTGTAAAGCTGAAAGCTTCTAGAAAATATTCAATGGCTCTGTCATTAAACACTGCTGGGAGGTGGCTGTCAGCAGCCAAGAGGTGAAGAATGAAGATGTTTGCAAAGCTGAAAGTAAGCATCTTGCAACTGCAAAGTCTTCATAAGTCAGGCCACCATTGAGGTATCCTGAAGCCCTAACTAGTCTAAATAAAAACATTTTGCCTGTTAAAAAAAAAAAAAAAAAAGACAATCATCCTGTATGAGGGAAACCATCAGCATGATGAGACAGCTGAATGGAAGTCTTGACAATGTGGCTAATTATATATGATTTTAAATCATCCTAAAATCATGATTGGTGGTAGGTAGATTTGTCATGTTACAGGCGGGACTCCAGAAGCAGGCAAAAAGACAATGATTGGCACACATACATAATTGAAGATAGAAAATGTTACAGAATTGACTGTGGGCCTTGACTATCTGGCTAGGTGGTGATCCAGACGGGTTGTGACTCATGACCATGCAGCCTGAGTCTTAACCACAAAGTGCCTAATAAACAGTAGCAAGACCTCAGCCATAATTTAAATTAGAAAAGAATACTCTCAGGCAAGTTCCCTAGTTCTTTGTGAGAGTATAATCTACTTTCAACCACATTCCTCCTGAAGGCAAACTGCCCCTCCATAGGTTTGTCCTGGAACTTGTCTATGCATAGTCATAATGATGATTTTGTTGTTGTTATGTGCCTGGTGGCTGGTGGGTTTGAACCGCCAGCCTGCTGGTTAGCAGTCAAGTGCCTTAGGCACTATGCTACCAGAGCTCCTAATGATGATTCAATGGTCAAAAAGAACCCAAATGGCATCTGAAACTTAAGCCTCAAAATGGAGTTAGGGCTCCCACTGTAGACCACAGCCTTCTACAACCCCAAGTACTTTAGAATTTAAGCTCTCATATACTACTCAGGAAATTAGTGATAGTTGTCTGTATGATCCTTTACTTTTTTTTTTTTTTTGCATGTATCTTAAGGTAACACTCAGTGCTTCTCGAATCTGCCTGTTGACTTTAGCAATGTGATTCGCATTTGGGTCCATGTTTTAAAGCAACTGAAGCACCTTATTTAGTTTAGAAAACTAAATCTATACGGTGGTGTGTTGAACAACAACAAAAGAAAAACCACATTCACTGCCATCGAGTCATAGCAACCCCCTTTGAGTTTCCAGAAGGAAGTAAATCTTTACAGAAGCAGATTGCCCAGTCTTCCTTCCATGGAGTGGCTGATGAGTTTGAACCACCAATCTTCTGGTTAGCAGTCAGATGTCTTAGGCAGTATGCCACCAAAGCTCCTTGTCATAAAAGTGAACATCTGCAAGTGAATATCTGAGAATGATAACATCAGAAAATTATGCACTACAATATTATATGTAGCACATATTACTAATCATAAGATATAGCCCCCCAAAAAAAAAAAGTCATAAGCACAGTTCATCATAACTGGAGTATTTGTAAGTCAGGGACTACGTGTATTACCTCCTCTATACCTCCCCCACTAAAAAAAAAAAAACTCACTGTCATCAAGTCGATTCTGACTCATAGCAACCAACAGGGTTTCCGAGGCTGTATGGAAGCAGACTGCCTCATCTTTTTCCCACGGAGCAGCTGGTGGGTTCAAACCACCAACCTTTTGGTTAGCAGCCCAGTGCCTTAACCACAGTGCCACCAGAGCTCCTTTTTTGAAACCCCATTTTTCAGACCCCTATAACGATGTTCACTACTCCTTGGATTTGTAAGAGTGTCATTTAAAGGATTGCTTGATAACTCACCCAGTTAACATATTGTTATCTATCTACCTGTCAGTTATGCAAATACATAGCTCTGATCTGGTTCAGTCCACCTAAAACAAATTTGTGTCTTCAGCCTAGGGCAGACAAGTCTTCATGTGTATAGGAAGGTAGCATCCTACATTTTTCTGCTAATGATCACTCCTCTGATTCCAGGGGAAGTGCCATACCAGCATAAGAGTAACATAGCTATTTCCCATGGTGATGATGGGATATTTTAAGCTTTTTTTTCCCCCCTTTCTTCCTGCCTCCCGAGACAAATTCATGTAGACACACATACACAATAAACAAACAACAACCTGTCCCACTTGACCAAACTTGGAGTGCCTGCTAAGAGCTCCTTGCCAACTGCGTACAGGTTATACAACTCTTTCGCCAGGAGCTTACTCTCAGTGGGTGTAGGAAGAAATACACAAGTGGTTGATACCAGCACAAGTGGTTGACATTAGCCAGGACATAAGAGCCAACAGAATGTATTGAGGGGTCAAAAGAAGGGGGGATGGGTTTTTGAACACTGCTTGGCCAACCCAGACAAAGCTGTGATACTCCTAAATGTTCTACAGTCCACAAGACAGCCCCACAGCAAAGAATTACTGAGCCCAACATGTCAGTTCTGCTGAGAAGCCCTGCCCTGGGATGTTAGGTCTGTGAGGGCAGGGATTTATTTTAAATAAACATTTTATTGAAATATAACTCAAAAGTTATAGCTAAATAAATTTTCGTAAACTGTAAACATCTATGCAACCAGTACCTACATCAAGACACAGAATATCGTTAGCACCCCAATACCGCCCTGGGCTAGAAATAACATTATCCTGACCTCTGACAACCTGTCTTAATTAGGTTTGTTTTGGGCATTAAAAGAAAGCATACGGTGTATGCTTTTTTGCATCTGGCTTCCCTTGCTCAGCATTTTGAGAGTTGTATATATGACTGCTAACCAGAAGGCTGGCAGTTCAAACCCACCAGCCACTCAGAAGGAAGATGGGACAATCTACTTCTGTAGTGATACTCCTCAGAAACCCAAGGAGGGGTTGCTATGAGTCGGGTCCGACTTGATGGCACAAAACAACAACAACAATATGTGTGTAGTTGATTCATTTTCAAGACTGCAGTGTTTATTAGGTGAGGATACTTACGCATTCTAATTAGATGGACATTTGAGTTGTTTCTAGTTGGGGTTGTTATGCACGGTACTTCTGTGGTGAACACATGTTGGCTTCTCAGTTGAGTGTATTCCACCCATTTGTTAAAGAGGTGTCTCTCTGTGCCTCATAGTTAGAGAGCTATACATTGTACATTGTACAAATATTGTGATTGCTACTTCATTAAATTACTTACGTCCCTTCCTAGGCCTGATATCCCTGACCAATACCAAAACCAAACTCACTGCTATCGAGTCAGTTCCGACTCATAGTGACCATAGTTGGTTTCCAAGGAGGTATCTCTGCGGAAGTAGATTGGCCAGTTTTCCTTCTGAGAAGTGGCTGGTAGGTTTGAACCGCCAGCCTTCTGGTTAGTGTTCAAATGCCTTAGGCACTATGCCACCAAAGCTTCTTATATCCCTGAATAGGCTAGTTTAGGCAACTCACTTTCACTAACAAAGAAATAATCATTATCCGCTACTGAGCTAGTTGTGAGGAATAACAATCATTCGGGATTTTTATCGGCCTGTCACTTTTCAGCTTCATGGACAGGATTTGGTTACAAGGATCAATCAGATAAACCCCCAATCATTGATGTAGATAAAGATCATAGACCTTAAAGCTACCTTGGAATCAGAATTGGCAGAAGAGTTTTCTTAAAAGATCAGTAAATAATTTCCACTGGGTTGAAACAAAAATGTATTAGGGCTTCAGATTTTAAAACAAAGGGGCAGTGTAATTATCTCTCAATGAAATTGGTGTTTAAAAATGCAAGAGTAGAGTTTTTGTTTTTGTTATCTCAGTTTTGCACCCTTTAGCATCTGTAGTGGTGTCTAGCACATAGTAGGTGTTCTGTAAACACTTGCTTGATAAATTGATAGTGCTTAAAGTTGCATTTATTGCTTTCTGTGCTTTCCCCTGATTGTATATATCACCATATATTCACATAGTAATTGCATCTAAACTGCTTTCTTGATTTCTTTTTTAATAGATAGAAGATGGTGAAATTTTTGCAAGTATTAACCAGAAGGATGGTATGGTCAGTTTTCATGATAACCCTGAAAAATATAATAACCCAGCCATGCTTCATAACATTGATCAGGAGGTAAATATGAATGTAAGGTTTTTATTTTTCTTGACTGATGTTACAGATGTTATAGATAAAATATTCATTGCTCCTGTGTTCCAGGATAATTTTAGTTTTAATCATAGGTAGTTCCAAAATTATGAGCATGTTAATTCCCTAGAAAGGTAATTTCAAAATGGGCTACATGAAACTGCCCAATTATATGCTTATAAGTAAATGATGGGAGCTCTGATAGCATAGTGCCTAAGGACATTTGACTGCTAATCAGAAGACTGGCAGTTCAAACCCAACAGCCAGTCCTCGGAAGGAAGGTTGGGCAATCTACTTGCATAGTGATACCGCCTCGGAAACCCAAGGAGGGCTTGCTATGAGTCAGGTCTGACTTCACAGCACATAATAACAACAAGTAAATGATGGGTTAGATTTCCCAACTAGCTCTTGAAAGCCTATTTAACACATAAACCTCTTGCAGCATCTTAAAATTAGTAAAATTGTATCTATACCCAGCCATGATTTATCATGTAGAATTTTGTTTCTCTGGAGGTCCAGGTAATGTTATTAGGGAGCAGGAATTAGTGGAGCACTTTTGGAGGGAGGAGGAGCACAGGGAGGCCTCCCTGCTAGCAGCTGCCACCTCTGCATTTTCTGAGGTGGCGCTGCTTTAGGTCAGGTAGTTCATGACATTTGCCCTGGGTTGGGCAATGAGCTCAGACTGTCTGTTTCTACCTTCAACTAGGGAAATGAAATGAACCAGAAATTAAATCTCAGAAACCTTAAATGCATAGTAACATGGTGCACCTTTACAGTCAATTTTTTGCAATCCTAAGATAATGAAAGGGAGCTCTGGTAGTGTAGTGCCTAAGGCACTTGACCGCAAACCAGAAGACTGGCAGTTCAAACCCACCAGCCACTCCTTGGAAGAAAGGTTGGGCAATCTATTTCCGTAGTGATACTGCCTAGGAAACCCAAGGAGGGATCACTATGAGTCGGGTCTGACTCGATGGGACACAACAACAAGAAGATACAAAAACTTTGGGTTTGTTGTAACCCATTTGATGGAAAAATGTTATCTGAACTGATGTATAGTCTTCATTTATTCTACTTAGTGTTAATATTGTTAGATTTCACTGCAAAAAATATGAATATGTTTGATTTTAGGGCACTGCCCTACATCTTACTAGAGGTTTTAGGTAATATACAATACCTGTACTTTCTGAAATCAGAAAAATTCCAAAACCCATTAGCCCCGGGGGTTTCAGATTAAGAACTTAGGAATGTGTAGTACTCATTTGAATCCCCATTGCCCAGTGCCATCGAGTTTATTCTGACTTATATTGACTCTATAGGACAAGGTAGAACTGCCCTCATAGGGTTTCCAAAACTGCGACATCTTTCTCCCATGGTGTGGCTTGGGGTTTCAAACTGCTAACCTTTCAGTTAACAGACAAGTACTTAACCTCTGTACCACCATGGTTACTCACATGAATAGCCTACTTTAAAAAGAATGTACTGATTGGCTTAAAATCATTTACTAATCAGGGTCAAACATGTATCACACAGATGCTGAAATGTATAGAGCTTGACGAGCGGCTGAAAGCTATGGATCAAGAGATTACAGTGAATCCTCAATTTGTGCAAAAGGTGACTATGCTTTTCCGTCCTTAACTAGAGGTGGGCTTATTAAAGAAGATGGGGTATTGCCACATTAGTTTTATGTTCAAAATTAGATGTGGAAATGCTTAGGGATATATAGGGTGGCTCCTGGAATTGCCTCCTCCTCATTAATACGAAGATTGACATTCTTCTGTGAGGCACCAGGGTGAATAACTTTGATGCACTTGTTGGGGGTTCATGAGAATCCCTTGACAAGAACGAACATAAATACACTGCCTTACTCTCCTTCTACAGAGTATGGGATCACAAGAAGATGATTCAGGAAACAAACCATCCAGCTACTCTTGAAACTAGCATCCTTCCTGAGTTAAAAGAAACTATCACCGTGCCCAGTGGCAAGTGTTAGGAGTGAGCAGAGAGGACCAAGACTGTTTCATCTGGACGTTAAGAAATTAAATTTTGTTTGAATCTTGAGTCCTGTATGCTTACAGAAAACTATTTTCTCTGCAAAGAAAGGAAAAAAAAAAAAAAAAACCTCAAACTTTAAAGCCTGTTGTGGATTTATTTATCCTCCGATTAATGTTGTTATTGCATTAAAATCTACCCTTTTGTTTTAAATTACTTGAATGTTGATGTGTTTCTATATCCCTTTTTTTTTCTTCTGGAAGGTTTTGGAAGAACACTCAGTGTGAATGATAGGGATTTTTGAAAGATTTGAATCATAGTTGATACCAGTTTCCTTTTTAAAAAAGCATAAGGAAGAAGTTAATCGTTTAATATTTAGAATTATGTGCATTTTCGTGACAATATGAATTGAAAATTAAAGGTACACTATTCTTAAATATTTTTGAAACTATAGTGTTGCTGCACCCTTTTATAGTCTTAAAAATTACTTTTTTCCTCTCTACAGTCTTTATTAGGAGCTCTGGTAGCATAGTGCCTAAGGCAGTTGACTGCTAACCAGAAGGCTGGTGGTTCAAACCCACCAGCCACTCCACAGAAGGAAGGTTGGGCAATCCTACTTCTGTAGTGATACTGCCTCAGAAACCCAAGGAGGGGTCGCTTTGAGTCGGGGCAGACTCGACGGCATGTAACAACAACAACAAACAGTCTTTATTAGATAAATACCAGACTTCTCTGCATTTTCTTCTGGAAGAATTTTCAGTTAAGCTACACAGGTACAATTTGATTGCTCAGAGCCCTTCCTGCCATAGAGCTCTGCATGCCATCTGACTAGAGTTCAGTGATTATTTTTTTAAAAAAAGCTTCTAAACTTCATTAATGACATAAACGGTTTCTCATTATGAAGACCAAACTGAGATTTACAAGTAGGCCAAGTGAGTTGTTAAGAGAAAGCTGACACAGATGATGTTAGTAAGTGGGTCTGCCTGTGTTCCATTAAAACTTTATATAGAAACAGGCAAAGAGCTGGAGCTGACTTGAAGCTGCAGTTTGCAACCCTTTATCTAAACTCAAATTCTCTAGTTGTTGAGTGGGTTGCATCACTTTGACTTAGGTTTACACATGCCTCCACTTAAGAAAAAAAAATATTTCATGGAAATTTATATTTCATCCATGTAGTAAATTACCCTTTGATTTTTTAAAATAGAAATTTGACGATTTCTTGCTTAACTAGATCTGAAATTAAGATCACCTGAAATGTGATTTAAAACTAGTAGATGTCAATCATTTAAGAGCAACTCTTGTGAGCTTCTAGGATGTGAGCACTATTAATTTTCTTCAAAGCAGATTGATTAAAATACCACATCATTTTGAATCTGTGATCTCAAAAGGAGTATGGTAGCTCTTCAGCGCTTTGTCCTACAATCTGTGAACAACTTTCCTTGTAGCATACTCTTATTAGTGTCTTTCAACTTTAAACCCATCTTTTGGAGTGCCTGAGTGGTGCAGTTAACATACTCGGCTGCTAACCAACAGGTTGAAGGTTTGAGTCCAGCCAGAGGTGCCTCAGTTTCAAGAAAGATGGTGATACGCTTCCAAAAAACGCCATTGAAAACCCTATGGAATTTGGTTCTACTCTGACACAAGTGGTGGCTATGAGTCTGAGTCCACCTGAAGACAACCTTTTATTTTACTTTGTGGGCCTGGGGCTACTTGGTTTTCTTCCTGCTAGGTTCTGCTAGCAGGAAGACTAGAGAAGAAAAGGTACAGGCTCCTTGGTGCCTGCTTCCTATTCTAACAAATAGCAGCTCTTCACCTTGGCCATGGTGGACCCAGCAGCAGCTGTTAATGCTAGCTTGTAGTTTTTCATGTTCTAGAAGCAGCCACATCATTCTCCTTTAGAAATCTAGCATCAGCAAACAGGCTGTCTCCTCCCCACACAGGCTGGCAGCCTAGCCTCAATGGGCCTCCAGACTTAAAATAATCTCTTCTCTTCTTCTCTTTGTTCCCCAAGCCCTAAGGGTGGTATTTTCTTCTGCAATTACTGTCAGTGATGCTCACTTTTCTCCAATACCTGACTAATGGCTCTATTAATTGTTTTCTCTTAAACTGGTGTGGTTTCTGTGTCCTTACAGGGGGTTGCTTTTGAAAATCTGAGGTGGCCTTATTTAATACTGAGAAGAGTGTATCAGAAGACCACATATGCTGCCTTAGAGAAGTATCACCTGAGTCAGGCCTATATCTTGTGAAAAGCAATCAGAATCTGCTGCCTGAATATGTTCTTTTGAGCTACTTCTCAGCAGCAAACCACTTTGTGTACTTGTTTACTGCATGCAACGTTTTGATAGTACTGAAGGTGGCAAGTTTGCTCTAGGGGATTGTCTTAGTTTTCTAGTACTGCAAACCACACACTCATTTTCAACTCATAGCGACCCCTCGAGTTTCTGAGGCAGTATCTCTATAGAAGTAAGTTGCCCAGTCTTCCTTCTGAGTGGTTGATAGGACTGCTATAAAAAGGGGGTGCTTTTATCAAACAAATTTATTTTCTTATAGTCTAGTCCAAATTCAGGGTGCTGGCTCTAGGAGAAGATGTCAATGTTTTATGTCTCAAAAGAGGTTGGCTCAACATACACCCTATACTAATTGACTCATTAACATAATAACCCATTCCTAAATGAGATCATAACCACAGGCATAGAGATTAGGCTTTATAACATATTTTTGGGAACACAATTCCATATATTTTAACCCTTTGACTCCCCCAAGTTTCTTTCCCACACACAAAACACATTCACCCCATCATATAATCCCAAAATCTGAAATCAATTTCAAGTCCAGAATCTCATGTTCTGACTCATCTAAATCAAATATGGGCGAGACTAGGTATATTCCATTTTGGAGCAAAATTCTTCATCTGTGAATTCAAGTTACCTGTTTCCAACATACAATGGTGGAACAGGCACAATGTAGACATTTCCATTACAAATGGGAGAAATTGGAGGGCAAGCGGGGAAAACAGGCACCAAGGAAATCTAAAACCCAGAGGAAAAACTTGCATTAGCTCTCAAGGCTTCTTAAGGGTACTCTGTTCTCTGAGACCATCTGGGGAGTGGACCAGACCTCCAAAGTCTGGGTGTTGGCCACACTCTCTAGGTTCGGGGTGGAAGCCCCTTGGTCCTGGGCTTCAGTAGCACCTTCAATACCCACTGGGACAGCAACTCTGTTCCCTCAGCTTTGGGCAGCCCAATTCTCCTGGTCTGAGTGTTGACCCTACCCCCTTAGTCCCAGCAGGCTCCATCCTTTTTGCCCCTCGGGCATCACAGCCCTGGCCCCTTAGCTTTGGGTGGTGAACTTATTTGCCTGGCACATCTTAACAGGAGCCCTACACTTCAGATGGGAGCTCTGGTGGCATAGTGGCTAAGACACTTGCCTGCTAACCAGACGGCTGGCGGTTCAAACCCACCAGCCACTCCTCGGAAGGAAGGTTGGGCAATCCTACTTCCGTAGTGATACTGCCTCGGAAACCCAAGGAGGGGTCGCTATGAGTCGGGGCCAACTCGACGGCACATAACATAACAACACTTCAGATTTGAGTTGGCAAAGATTTGCCTCTGAAACCTAACAGGCTGTAGCCCCACTCTGAAACCTAGAAAGCCCTGCTTCCTCTGCTCCTTCCAACAGTTCTCTGATCTCTAAGCTGCTCCAAGGGAGCTCTTTTTCTTTTTTTGGAGGGCAACAGGTGTAGCTCCTTTGGCTTATTTCCTGCCTATAGAATTCTAAGAGAACAAACATCATTCTTTCTCGTCAGTCTAAGCTGATAGTCTTCTGCTGTGGTAGTTGGTTAAATCCATCAGGCACAGGCTTAATTTCTTTAACAGAAGATTGTGTAGCCATATCCTTGGTGAAAATTCTAGGACACATGTGAGTTTGCATAACAGTATTTTCCAAATCTAAGTTCTGTTGTCATTTCCACAGTTCATTTTTAAGCCAATCTCCTTCCTCTGGCATTTTACTGTAAGCAGCATGGAGAAACCATGTGGCAACTTTAAAATCTTGCTTAGAAATCTCATCAACCAGATTTCAAGTTCATCACTTACAAGTTCTACCTTCTACCAAACATTTTAATGTAATAGAGATAAGTTCTTTGCCACTGCATAAAAAACATCATCCTCCATTGTCCAATCACATATTCATCATTTCCTTTTAAAGCCTCACTAGAAGCACGTAACATTTCTGTCAAATTTCTGTTGCTGCCACCATATGTATTCTATAAAATGATAGAGACTTTCTGTATGGATCTCTTCACTTCCTTCTGAACCCTTATCAGAATTGCTTTTGACATCCATAATTCTACCAATCATCTCTTATAGGCTTTTGCTATAGTTGTTAGACACCTTAAAACTTCCAGCCAGGAACTTCCGGTAAAATGGTGGAATAGGCAGACAAACTACACAAACCCTCTTCAACAAAGAAAGGAGAAATGAATTGACAGAGATACAGAAGATAATCCTGGAGCCCTGAACTTTGAAAGGAAGTACACAGAAGTGGATTAGGCACCAACTACTGGAAAAACCTGAATGAAAACAGTGAGTGTGGAGATGGACAGAGCTGTGGACTGTCAGCTACGGTGATGGCACCAACAGCCTGAATATTTCCAAGCGGTGTTGGGACCTGAAAATTGACCTAAAGATCAGCCCTGGTCACCAAGGACTGCAAGGATAACTGCAATGGTGGCTGATGACTAGGAAGTGAAACAGCAAAGAGGGAGACAACCTGAGTTGTGGACTTAGCTGTCTGGAGGGCACAACCATTTTGATTGTTTACAAGCAGTGGCCATTTTGGATATTTAAAGTGACAGCATTCTCATTTGGATAACAGTGACCTAAGAATATGCTCCATTTGCCAAGGACAGCAGGTACATATGGGAGGCTGACAATGGGAAAGGAGACAGGTGGTGAGTGTATAAATGCTGCCAACTAGTGAACAAAACAAAACAAAACTCACTGCCGTCAAGTGAAACCCAACTCATAGTGACCCCTCTTTGGTTTTCCAGGGTGGTATCACTATGGAAGTAGATTGCCCAACCTTCCTTCCAAGGAGTGGCTGCTGGGTTTGAAC